TCCGAGAGAATTTCACTGATCACGAGCGATTTTTAGCGATTGTTTGGGCGGAACTCACACTGAACAAAACTTAGGCAAACTTTTGATATGCTGCTTTCTGCAGTGACTTGCAGTGTGAGAATTGCACAGTATAACATAAAATGACAATATGTATTGAATGACTGGTTCAACGACGATATCGCCATGCATGTCTTCGACTTTCATGTGCACTTATGATACGAATAATTGGTTTGTAGATTTCGTCGGGTGCACGCAATCCCCAAATGAAATCGAAATGATTGTAATCGTTGAGGCGATTGTTTTGTTTCAAAAACTGTGGCTGTATCTTTGGAAGAAGTGACCTCTGAAAAGGACAAATGAAAACGGTTTGGGCAATATGCACCATGAATTGAAAGTTTAACAAGCGGCGAATGTAAATTTAGATGATGCCAAGGTAAGCTTGAGTTGGGGCTTAGATTCAGGCTAACCGTACGTTTGAAGCGTAGCCTAGATCTAGCGTGAAGGTGATATTTTAGAAGGAAAATTTGAAGCTTAACTAGACTTCCTATCTCCATATATAACACGTTATATCTCGTCAGTATTCTCAGTTACTTATTCTCCATGATACAAGCAGTAGAGCCTATAGCAACTCATAATCATTCTCAATTTCTGACGAAGTTTGTTGCCTGAGTTTTGATTGTTCTGTCCAAAATTGTAGAATACTAAAATGAAGGATAAAAGTTACAGAAATTGTCCAAAAATCGCCTTCTATTGATAGGATTGTACAAAAACATGTCAGCTATTAAACAGCTACTGGAAACTGGATCAGTTTCTCTGAACTGCGGTCGACTTTTTTCGATTTAAGCTATGTGATGATATGCAATTCTGAAAAAAACTCCAAAACCTTTATATCCGTTTCAGTTGCCAACCAGTCCTTATCACTCCAATACAAATACACACGTGTGCTCACTCGAGAAAGATCATAAAGCGGTGCTGTAGCCTGGAAATCATCATTACACACATGAAAACAGTTTCATTTGAATTTTCATCATCATGGAAAATAGATTTTCCCACTCAATCACTCTATTTCACAGAATAAGAGTAAAAAAATCGACTAACTTGGCTGTAATGTTTCATATTCTCCTCCGCAGAGCCGTAATCATAAGCTTGCGTATCGCCAGACTGTACCATTTGTCTCCAGTGGCGTATATTTTGTGTGGACGTTCCAGCAGGTGTATGTGCCAAAAACACTGGCACTCGAGACTAAAAACCTTCTGTTAGAGTGTCACAAATGACTGATTAACTCACGACCTGAGCTCCGCGAATTTTTTCGAATAATGGTGACGTACTACTCGTCGTGATAAATTAATAATAAATAATATTCGTACGATTGAAAAACATGGGAATATTCCCAGAAGCAATTGGAAAACAATGGAAAAAATCACTTGATTGAATTGATTGTCTGGACCACCGATTTGGAAGAGTATATTATCACAGAAAGGATTCACATAGTGCCAACCACAAATGTATCTGCTAAACAGTTTATTGAACCACGAATTTGGGAGGAAATCTCGGTTTCCCAACAGTTTATCGAGCATCTGAAAGTTTTACGATTCTCTAAAATGAGTTTTTCATCAATCACAGAAAGCATTCTCCAATTCTGTCTCAGAGTTTGATGTTTCCAATTTCACTGTGTCATTGAAGCTTGATACCTCTGAGTATCGTCATATTCTACCAGATTTTCGCATCGTTTTCTATCAGTTCAAACGGAATACGAGCAAACGATTGGCAGAAAACGGTGATATGACGAAAAGATTTGGATGGCAAAATGAACAAAAAACTAAGAGTTACTGGAAATCTTCGGGAGATTTCTGCAATATAGTATATCAATCCTTGAATGTTGGCGACTGTGGCGATTGGAGCCAACGCGAAAAACTTTCGAATCTGCAATCGACATTAGAATTTTATTCATAAAACCTCANTATATCGCCTAAGCCTTCCATTAGGAAGTGATAATGAAAGAATTTGACATGAATATGGATAACTTCATTTCATATGCACAGATGCATGATTTACTTGAAATATTCTCGATGTTGAGCAACGCTATCGAAATAAATTATGCATGAAAATGATGGAACGAAGCTAGGAACATTCTTTTATTTCAATATAGTCCAGTGGTTCTCACGCATTACCCCTTTTGATGATCTGGCAGGTCGCCGTTACCTCACTTCTCCCCTGATACAACAACTTACTATTTGTAAGTTTAACATCAGGA